TAGTAGGCAGAAAATGAAAAGTAAAACATTGTGTATATGCATATGTATGCATATATATATATATATATATATATATATATATATATATGCATACATATGCATATACACAATGTTTTACTTTTCATTTTCTGCCTACTATAATTTTTATGGAAGGTTATTAAGCGAAATACAACCACAACGTTGCTGAGATATTTGCAAAACACCGGACTGCAGGTGTCTGCGGTGGGGAACGAACGCTCTATTGTCCTTTCCTGGGAGTAACGCGTTCACCACCACACCATGCAGGTGCAGGTTCCCCCTGTCTCTCAGCTAGTTCTGCATGGTGTGGTCGTGAACACGTTACTCTTCGGAAAGAACAATAACGAGTTCGTTCCCTACCGCAGACACCTGCGGCTCGGAGTTTTGCAAATATCTCAGCTATCTTGTGGTTATATATATATATTTATTCATTTATTTATGTATTTTGCATGAGCCTAGGCCACTTGGCCATTTTCTGTGACATAACCGTAAGGAATACGATATTCGGTTGCCGCTACCATTTTTGATGTGTTCAGAGAAAATGCGATCAGTACTGGCCAAGCTCCGCCGGCTCATCGGAGACACACGGAAACTATCAAGTCGGTCTTGTAAAAGAGATTCCGAATACTTATTTTGTGCATCGAATACTCAGTTTACGCGTCGTGAAATTTGTTCCACCGGTGAGTTTCGTTTATATGACGTTATCTTTAGGATCTTCATATTTCGACCTCAGAGCAAATAACTACACAGTTAGCTTTATCTTTGGACTACGTTAGCAAACTCGGTGCCTGTAAAATTTGAGAACTTGGTAAAGTAGCAAAATTCACTGGACAAGTTCTTGTTTGTGTTAGATAGAAGTAAACGTCAACGAAGAGGTGGATTTTACAGCAGTACGCAATGGCGCTTTAATACAACTTTCTTCCACAATTGATGGCATTTGTTACTAAGAAAACAAGCAGCTTCAAGCAAAACTCTAACATATTCTAACATGGAAAAGTTAAATGGAGAAAAATAAAACAATAAGAAAGCATGAGTCTTTTCATCAACATTTGATAGATTTGCAGGCAGAGCGTCGAATACATCAGTTACACTTTAAAGGATGGCCCGACCATGGAGTGCCCGATACTGTGTTCCCGCTTCTCACATTTATGCACTATGTGGCCGAGATACATTCCACAGGACCAATTGTTGTTCATTGCAGGTGAGTGCTATGAGGTAACAAAAGTGACTAATACAGCTAACAAAGAACACAGTCTACTCATTGGTAATTGGGACTTTGATCACTCGAATTTGAACGAAGGAAAAACGAAGAGGAGTTCATTATGTATGCTTAAATCTCGGTTGACCGGTGCCGATACATCGATACACTTTCCGATTCTGAAGTCATCGACTGAAATTTCGAGCGATTTCGAATATGTCGAATATTCGAGCAAAGAGTACGATGAAGGGTGAAGGATAAAGCTTTCGGCGTTGATCAACTCCTGAGGGATGCGCCATACATTCGACTGCATTAAACATAGTTTGGAGGTGATTGAATGCATATCTGACCTTTACAATGACTCGCGTGACCTACCGATGTATCGAGCCAGTTCTGCTATGCTCCCAGAGCAGTCTGGCACCAATTTGCCGACCCCGGAGAAGTGGAATGCTTGGTGGGCCATAGGCGTGGAGATCGATTCCCACGTGTGTGTTGCAGGGCGGCTCCGACCACTGCGCCACACGCGCCGCTAAGAGGACGATAATGCAAAGTATTTAAGTAAAAGATCAAACTATAGAGCCGCCAAATGCCTGATTTCTTGAGATTCTGCGATTGATTTTATCCATTGTATCGATTGGTCGAGTGTCAAGACTATGAGGATGAGGTGACGACAGATGAGAGGATACGTTCTATCACTACTAACCGTATCGATATGCTGTTTTAGTGCTGGTGTTGGACGATCCGGTTCCTTTATCTTGATGGATAGTATGAGACGTCATCTGATCAATTCTCGTAAACTGAATCTGATGGGTCATCTGATGCACATGCGACGTCAACGTGAGAAAGTCGTACAAACTGTGGTCAGTGCAGTTTCATGAACATTTTTTTTCGCATTCATTATTATAAAAACACAGGAGGAAGTTGTTATTGTTAACTGAATAACTATTTGGCCAACTAGTAAGGTCGTCCTTCTCTATTATTCGTAGATAAGTTCAGACCATAGTCACCAATGAAATTGAGAATAACTTCTGATTTTAAAGGAACGACGATGACTTTAGCTTGGATACACCGTCCCCATTATCGGTTACAATGGTGATATTTTGAGTTTTAATGATCACCATCACTGATGAATTGGTCAGTGGACAATTCAGTTGTACTCGATCTCAGAAGTGGCAGTTGCTTTTCTAAGTAACCGTTAATGCACCAATGTCTTTCCACTCACCTGATCTTTTTCCGCACATCTAGTATCACTTCTTCTTTTGGTCTTTAAGAGCAATGATTGATACCCTCTTTCAAATGGGGAACTACCGACGTGTGAAACAATATGAATTGCAAATACCTCGTACATTTCGAAATAGAAGAAGGAAAATGTCGTTCCATATTAATCGAATAGATCAAAAACATTTCTCATCTCTAAATGCTCTGAAAGTTTAAGTCTCTATAGAGTTCTGTGCAAAAGCATTAGATGTTTTTGTTTTTAACCGTAATACTTTGTTTTCTTTAAGGAACAGTACATTCTGTGCCATGAGACAATTCGACAACTAATTCGTCATGGTATCACACGCATCCATCCGAGCCTATTTCAAAGGTGTTTTCTCAGCTGTTTCGTTTGTACCATAAAATTCCTTTCGAAGCAATGACATTACAACCAAAATCAATTAAATGAAGCAACAAAGTGCGACATGAGACGAAATTATGAACAGAGTCGACGAATTTGTCAATGCAAGTGAAAGATCTCGCTCTGGTGATCTGGAGCGCTTTTCAAAACCCACTTTCGAATTTCATTCTTCCGAACTCAACGTTGAAATAACTTAAACTGTTGGCCATGTTTAATACTGTGCAGGGTGGCCAAGAAGGTCACGATGCACTACTTTTTTTATACAGTTATTTGAAGTTCTATTACTTTCACAACACTCCAGGACAGCATAAGAAGAAAACTCAAGATCTGCATACTTTGTCCAGAATGTCCTTCTTAGGCTTTGCCACAAGATTCTTGTCATGGTATCACGGGTTCTGACAACTAGTCCCAGGCACTCAAAGCACTTTCAAGCTGTTTTTGTTAGTTCTCACATATGGTCTAAACTAGTGGTTTTCTGTTTTCAGTTCCTGATGTAGGACCATGCAAACGGAAAATTTCGGCTGATTCAATTGCCGAGTGTCAAAGACCACTTATCTCTGATAAAGTGTCTCGCAGAAATTGGCTAGGGCCATCATCAGTTTCGCTTCGTCGGTGTCCAACAATGTCGAATGATCACGTTGGAATCTTCCTGTTTCCGAGGGCGGATATTCTTCTTTGCAGTCATTTCTGCTCGGAGCATCACTGCTTTGGAGAACATTTGCTTCGACATAATATTTGACTTTCAGGATTGTTTTATTACTTAGCCAACCAGCTAAAAGTCGTTTTGAGAGTTTAGATTAATTAACTTTAAAAATCCTATCTAACCATGCGACATCTTCAACCTGATTCACGTCGAAGATTTTCAACAAAGCAATGCGTTCTTCACTCGGTTCAGCTTTGCCGCGTCGTTTTACGTTTTCTCTTTCCGCGTAGAGTACAGCTCCTAAATTTAAGCACTCGTTTAATATGGTATGGCAGATAAATGATTTATTCCAAGACTTCTAGCAATGCCATAAAAGTTAGAATATTCATTTCTACTAATCCTTTTTTTGATAATTTCACGAATTCGTCTGATATTCATCTTACGAGAACGAGTGATTTTTGTTTTCTAATCAACCTTTCGTTTTATCTTCACTGCTTGGTGATCTTGTGGGCGATTTTTTTTCGATGAAGGTTTGAGCTTTCTTGTAATGGCTGCGGTCTCCTGTTTTCCGCAATTCGAACAGTAGTCGGATAAGCTTTCATGGAAAAAAAATGACCGTTAAAGACAGTAAACGGCGAGAATAAGAGGAAATATCCTATATTTCACGGCAAAAGACTGGGTAACAAGTCGCTATTTCTTTGCCACCCTCTAACTCTAAGTGACAATTATTTCGCTTATAATACTGGTTCTGCGAGCTACACAGGACCCTTGGTTTCATTTCACCGCGTTTCAGATACATCAACTATCTATGTGAGGAACATGTGAATGGTAAGACAAGGATTCAAATGCAGTACGAGGTAACGATCTCGTTCCATTCTAGTCGAATTTCATTTTCCTTAGTGATTGTCAAAAGATGAAAAACAACTTTTTTCTCTGGTCATGTGTCTATTTAGTGCAGTTACGAATCTTTCCATCCTCTCAGCAAAAAGAGGGGATTTTCTAAAGAAGTACTGATGTCAGTCGACGAAAGAGATTTTCAGCGACCTGATAATTCTCATTTAAACGCGATTCGCTTGCACTTCTAGCTGACATTTTTCGAAGCAGAAGTGCTGTTTATCAAACATTTTCTCAGCTTGGATGTTTGCGTAAGGGGATTATGTTTGACGCATGTAAAAGCCACAGACAAATCCTACGGCAGGCATGAATGCCATTAAAGGGAAACAATGACGTCTATCTTCTATGTAACTCAAATACATAATGGAAAGGTTCGACTCTAATTTTTGAGTGTAATGAAAACCGTTCACGACAATTTTTACGCTATCAAAGAGTTTGCAATAATTCCAAGTTGTTTCCAGAGAAGGATTGACCGCAATGATTTTTGTGAACACTTATATAGCATAGAAATACTATTGCTACTATAAAATTAGGATTAAATTTTTTTTTAAACTTTTTTTGCCTAAACTCCTAGCAGTTCTGTGTTTCAGGACCTCTGCGAATGTCATCACAATCCACCTTGTTCTCCACCTGGGAACTATATAACATTACCGGTGAGCTGTTCAAAGCTTAAATGATCAACACTACTCAGTATGAAAGAACGCCGAAAATCATTATCGCTACCGTTTTATGCATTCCGTCGAGAAACCAGCATACTTCATGGTTAGTTAAGCGTTTCGAATAGGCGGACATTCGATCAGGAAACGAGTTTTCATGGATTACCCCTTCATGAATTTTCCCCAGGAATACTCTGTTGTGGAAGAAATTCAATTTGAATAGTTCAAAACAACATAAAGCATTAACCTATTTTCTAAAACATTTTAGGGTTATCATCGTGCAAACGAGTTTATCGTCGCTAACTGGTCGCGCGAGTGTCCAGAACTATGGCAGTTGGTTTGGTCGCAGAACTGTCAAACTATAGTTCTTCTCGGTGAGTTTATTCCCACTTTCATTTTCGAATCGGCTTGTTTAACATATAAACAGTCTTGTGAGTGGTAAAGTAACATTATCTATTTGTCTAAATTGTTTGTCGTAAGTGGAATCAACTTCGTCTGTGGTCGCGTTATTCATTGATTAACTCGAGTGGGTTGCAGTGGACTCCATCTGTCACCATCGCGCACAAGAGTTGGGCAGGAGAAACAAAGAGTGTCACATTCTTAGTCTCATGTTCTTTTTAGGACTAATCAAAGCTTTTTTTCGCGGGTAACTTACTGCTGGAATTCAGTGTGCTCTGTCGTGGCACCGGGCTATAATAGGCCATGCGAATAAAAATAGCCAATTTTTTAGGTGAAGAAGATTATTGGACGGGTATTGAATCCGTGGAGGATCTAAGCATACAACACGGGGATAACTTCGTTCTTCTACAGAATAATGAAGACCAGGTGAGTAGTGTTCAGTTGACCTAGACCTGTGGACGTCTAATTACCGGATTTTACTAGAAGAAATGAAAATCATCCATTAAGATTCGAGAAACAATTTATTCAATGATAAAACGAATTCAATTGGTGAAACTATCCATACTCTATCTTGTAAAAATACGTTGAAAATATGGACTATCTGAATACATTAAAAAGCATCTACAGAATAAATTATTTTCCCAAGTCCGACTTTCTATTAACCTCGGCATTGATTGAATATATCTTTCTACTTCTGTTCAGCAAGCACGACGTGCTATTTCATTTCTTTATTTACGCACAAGCTGACGTTTCGGCGGATTTCGCCTTCCTCAGAGCCTGGAAGGGTCGAGTTGACAGCAATCCACTCGGCCAAACACCTCCATAACCAACAGAGAAAACGCTAAACCAAGATTTCAATCACATTTAGCATAGCTCTGCACACTCACCGCTTTCTATGAGTCTTCCATTGAGTATGTCGTGTGAAGACCGACCGCACAGAATTCACACGGAAGCGTAATGTGGCCCTCCCATCAGAATAACAGGTTTATATACTGTCCTATATCACGCGTGATAATGAGGAATTCCTCCCTGCGGTTCATTTTCGGATTCTTGGAATTTATACAGAATGCCTCTAGAGTTTTGCGCTCTTGTGTTCCCGATTCTTGCTCGAGGATCGTAACCCTTGCTTCAAAATCTTCTCCGTTTGTTATCGTTATTATTCTGTTATAAACCTGTTATTCTGATGGGAGGGGCACATTACGCTTCCATGTGAATTCTGTGCGGTCGGTCTTCACGCAACATACTCAGTGGAAGACTCATAGAAAGCGGTGAGTGTGCAGAGCTATGCTAAATGTGATTGAAATCTTGGTTTAGCGTTTTCTCTGTTTGGTTATGGAGGTGTTTGGCCGAGTGGATTGCTGTCAACTTGACCCTTCCAGGCTCTGAGGAAGGCGAAATCCGCCGAAACGTCAGCTTGTGCGTAAATAAAGAAATGAAATAGCACGTCGTGCTTGCTGAACAGAAGTAGAAAGTGCCTCATTCCCCTGACCACGAAAGAACCGCAATTCGGCAGCGTTGGGTAGACGAGTACGGAGAGGCTGCTAAAATCTCATGGCCAAAAAAAACTGCCTGGATCGCGAAGATCTAAGGTGATTTGTGCCTACAATGAATATACATTTGCATCCGAGTCCTCGAAAGAAGACTTGCTCATGCAAGCAAGAAGGATAAGGTGCGACGTCATGGATGGACGTCATTGGGACCCATGGATAAGAAAGGAACGAACAGTGTGAGCGGCTGTCTGAGTTTATCATGGCGACCAAGTCCATCCATGGCAACTCGCAATTCCAGAAGCGCCACCTTCAACGCTGGACGTGGGAGTCTCCCAATGGAGAGTACCATAACGAAATAGAAGGTTTTGCCTTACCGATGTCGCTGTTGTCCCAAAATTCTACACGGGATCAGACTACCGTCTCCTTCGCGCAAGATTCTAGATTTCTCGCGGAAAGGAGAAAAAGCCACTAAATCCAAAAACCGAAATCCCAGAACTACCGTAAACTGGGACTTATTCAATTTATGAGTCGGCTGTTGGAAAGATGCCGTTGTCGATAACATCGATGAAGAATACGATCAGCTTATTCAACATCTTCACGTTAGAGCGATGGAAGCTCAGAGTTCGAAAGTCACCAGAGACGTCGGTCTCCGGAAACACTCGAGCTGATATGCCAGCGTGGAATCGCACAAGCTGTAGGCAACTGCAAACTTACATCCGAATTTGCAAAACAATGCTGACAGACGATAAAAGAAGATCTTGAAGATGGAAGAGCAGCAGTGATGGTCGAAGCTGCAGAGGCTGGAAAAGGCATTCGCCAATTGCAAGACAAAATTGCATTCCGACTACCAGACGGAACAGTTACAGTGCCCAGAAAGACAATGAAGAAAGTTATTCACGAATACTACTCAGATCTCTTTGATAGCCACGTCCACCTTCTGTGATATGAAATAAAGGAGGATAGATATGCTATACCGCCAGTTCTCCCTTCCGAAATCCGACATGCCATTACGCCGGTGAAAAATCTAACAGCACCAGGTCCGCACAGGTTAAGATCAGAACGCCTGAAGAACCTTCCGCCAGTCCTCGTAAACACACTGGCTAGGCTCTTCACACGTTACCTGTCCGAATACAAGGTCCCTAGTCAGTAAAAGATCAGTAAGACCATGTTATTGTTCAAGAAGGGTAACCTACACGATATCGGCAACTATCGCCCAATCTGCTTACTGCCTGCCGTCTACAAACTTTTCACTCTACAAACATCCTAGGCAGGATTGTCGGAACACTGGACGAAGGGCAACCATGTGGGCAAGCAGGGTTTCGAAAAGGATTTAGTACGATGGACCACATCCACACGGTAACAAGGCTCATTGAAGTATCGCGAGAGTACAAAAGACCGCTCTGTCTCACTTTCATCGATTTTCAGAAGGCCTTTGATTCAAGTGAAATAGAAGCAGCCATGGAAATCCTTGATAGTCAAGGAATACCTACTCAGTACATAAAGTTTTTTCGTGAGTTGTACAAGAATTTCACAACCAAGATATCACCATTCTACAACGATATTATCATTGATGTCAAAAGAGGACTTGGGCAGGGCGATACCATCTCGCCAAAATTATTTACCGCCATCCTCCAGAACGTTATGCGAACATTGGAAAGTGATAATATGGGAGTGAAAATCGATGATCGGCAGTTACATCATCTTCGCTTTGTTGATGACATCGTCCTTATAACACCGAACATTACAATTTTACATATATAGAACTAGCTGAGAGACAGGCAAAACGAAGGACCCTGATAGTGCGGTGGTGAAGTGCGCTGCTCCCCGGTAAGGACAACAGCGCGTGTTCGTTCCCCACCGCATACACCTGTGGTCCGGAGTTTTGCAAATATCTCAGCATTATATACGAGTTATATTTCGCAACATACCCTGCCATTGAAAAGAAAAAAGGCAGTAAATAAAAGGGTTAAGATTACAATTTTACAATTATTTACGGCCTACTTTTTTTTTTAATGGCAGGGTATATTACGAAATACAAGGTGTATGCGGTGGGGAACGAACGCGCTATTGTCCTTTCCGGGGAGTAACGCGTTCACCACCAAACTCTGCGGGTCCTTCGTTTCGCCTGTCTCTCAGCTAGCTCTATCGATCTTTGCCACAGCAATCACCCTTCAGCGCGATCAAACTTTAGCCAAGCGGAGCGTATGCTTGAGAACTTTGATAAAGCCTGTGGAAGATTGGTCTTCGACTAAATCTCACAAAAACGATGGTGATGAGGTCGCGCTGAACGGATTGGTTTCGTCTGCCCCAATCACGCTCAAGGGAACGAATATCTCCGAATGCTTCAGTTATACCTATCTAGGTCGGGAAATCAGCATGGTGAACGACTTAGCGCCAGAGTTGAGTAGAAGGGAACGAGCGGCTTGGGAAGCTTTCAAGAGCATTGACGATGTAGTGAAGAAAGCACAAAACACCCGTCTCGTGCCCACCTTTTCGACTCAAGGGTACTCCCTGTTCTAACGTATGGGTCAGAAACCTGGTCGCTACGTAAGCATAATGAAGGATCACTCAGCGTTATCGAACGCCCAATCGAAAGGACGATGCGAGGAGTATCCCGTTTCACACAAGTAAAGGATGGGATCGGATGTTCCGACCTGCGCCAACGATCAAAAATCAAAGATGCCGTTCTGTACGCTAAACAGTCAAAGATAAGGTAATGCGTATGAATGACAACCGATGGACAAGAGCCGTTAGTGACTGGATTCCTCGGGATATCAAGCGTACTGCAGGAAAACTACCGACCCGATAGTCAGAGTTCTTCGAGAAGAGCCTAGAAGAAAGATATGGTGCTCGACCAGTCCCTAGAGCGAGCAGAACCCACTGGGCTATTCTTGCAGGCGATAGGGAAAAATGGAAGATTTACTGGCGCCCATTAGAGTCACTCGATGATCAACGGGACTACAGGTGATAGAGATGAACACTGAACCCAATTTCGTCACTGGCTTGGTTTTTGAAGAATTTCTCGTACAGAAATTGTTGTTAGGCATGAAGAAGTGATATTCGATAGGCAAGAGGTGTAGCATGGATGATAGACGGGGCAGAGTTTCGCACCTTAGCATGTTGAACATTTGAAGCATCCGTAATGCGGCGTGCGAAGGCTCATTATCTTGGAGAAGATTCGACCCTTTTTGTTGATAAATAGTATCCTCAGACCTTGATGCTACTGGTGCATTTCGTCGTTCTTCTGCACGTGCTCCTCCATTTAATCCTTTATTCGATTCAGGAATCCGTGATGGATCAAATTGTCGCAGGTTTTCGCAAAGGATGCATTTTTTGCCTCATCTCGGTCGAGAATTGGGTCGTTCTGGTTTCGAAAAGAAGCACCGAGTATACTTCGAAACGGAAATTCCTTTGATTAATTGGCTGAGAGAAAGATACGAAAGACTCAATGGCGCAGTGGGTAATACACCCGGAAACGCAATCGCTGGTTCGAATCTGGCCTATAGCTCGAGTTTTGCAAATATATCAGCATCACAATGTTATACCTTTTTTATTTTCTGCCTACTATAATTTCGCGGCAGGGTACTAAGCGAAATACAACCACAACGTTGCTCAGATATTTACAAAACTCTGGACCGCAGGTGTCTATGTTGGGGAACGAACGCGCTATTGTCCTTTCCGGGGAGTAACGCGTTCACCACCACACCATGCGGGTCCTTTGTTTCGCCTGTCTCTCAGCTATTTCTATCGATCTTTGCCACAGCAATCAACCGTCAGCGGGATTGATCTGGGGCGCCCAAATCGGCATAGAGCCCAGTTAAGCTGCGTCTGTAGTTGAAATCACAATGTTATACTCCCACGACCGACTTTCTATTAACCTCGGCATTGATCAAGTAATTCTTCGTATTTTTGTTGAGCAAATGCGAGGTGTTATTATTCTTTATTCACGAATGAGCTGACGTTTTGGCGGATTTCGCCTTCCTCAGAGCCTGGAAAGGTCAAGTTGACAGCAATCTAATTGGCCAGACGCCTCCATAACCAAACAAAGAAACTCTAAACCAAGATTTCAATCACATTGAACACAGCTTTGCACACTCACCGCTTTCTATGAGGTCTCCACTAAGTATGTCACGTAGAGACCAACCGCACAGAAATCACATGGAAGTATAATGTGCCCCACTCATCAGAATAGCAGTCTTATATACTGCCCTACATCACGCGTGATAATGAGGCATTCTTCCTTGCGGTTCATTTCCGGATTTCTGGAATTAATCCAGAGTGCCTCGAGAGTTTTTCGCGCCTGTGTTCTTGATTCGCGTGCAAGGATCGTGATACATACTTCAAATCCTCCCCGTTATGTCTCTGGGTCCTATGCGTGCCTAGCGGAGTATTTAGTCTATGCTTGCCGGCTAGGTGTTCTTTTATGCGGACACAGAGGGGTCTGCCCGTTTCGCCAATGTATTCGTCACCACACGTCTTACAGGCGGCTAGGTGTTCTTTTATGCGGACACAGAGGGGTCTGCCCGTTTCGCCAATGTATTCGTCACCGCACGTCTTACAGGAGATCAGATAAACTATACCCGGATAAAATTCGAAGACCTTTTGAGTAAATTGAATAACACAGCTTCAATAGCGCACAAAAATATCGGTAAGGAACATCAAACAGATCACAATAGGATAGATAATGTGTAAGAAAGTTCAAGGCTAACCGTGTTAGGAGGCATGGCTCTCCCTGACGGTGCGCGCTCGTTATTAGAATTGGGGCCGAGTTTCTCACCATCTGAACCCATTTCTAAGATAACCTTGCGTAGGGTTGCATGTGGTTTACATGAACTTCAAGATAGACTCCGCAAAAAAGCTAGAGATGAAGCGCTAAATAGGTGCGAACAACAANAGGCTAACCGTGTTAGGAGGCATGACTCTCCCTGACGGTGCGCGCTCGTTATTAGAATTGGGGGCGAGTTTCTCACCATCTGAACCCATTTCTAAGATAACCTTGCGTAGGGTTGCATGTGGTTTACATGAACTTCAAGATAGACTCCGCAAAAAAGCTAGAGATGAAGCGCTAAATAGGTGCGAACAACAACAACACCAAGTGGGGACCCTACCAATAGCACCATTTCCCCCGGCGTTCTTTAGACAACAAGAGCCCAATAATGAAGTTGATGTTAATTTTCGGATGTTTGCGAATGAAACTCTCAAAGTCCTTAATCATTATCGCGCGAAAAGATACAGCTCAAACCTCACTCTAGTGCAAAAACGTGGTATGCGAGAGGTACGAGAGCTGATAAGGTTGAAAACCATAAGACTATCCGTTAGTGATAAGGGTGGAGAGTTTGTCGTAATTCCTCATCAGTTGGATGTGGAGATAACGAAAAAGCATCTTGAAGATGCTTCGCTTTATCGACCATCGTCTGAGGAGGAATTTAAAAGAAAATACCGAAAACTGAACCACGAATGGGCCAAAATGGCAAGGGCTGCTGGTTTAAAACCATCAGTTATCTCTCAACTAAAAGTTGACTTACCAACATGCCCCGTTTTGCACTTACTTACAAAAACTCATAAGTTAGTATCCAGCGATGATCTTGCGTCTACCGATCCATCACTATTTAAGGTTAGATCTATCATTAGCTGCGTAGACGGGCCAACGGACAGGATAATATGGTTTTTAACCCTCATATTTAACCAGTTGTTGAAACACATTCCAGCCCATCTCACGAATACCCAGATGTTTCTGGATCGTCTACGTACTGCGCAGCCCAACAACGCGCGCGTGATGGAGTCCTTCGACGTTACCGCCCTTTATACAAACGTTTCGAATGACTCCGCAATGCAAGCCATATTCGAACTCCTTACACAACACGAAGGAGAAATAAGCATGTATGGCTTCAAGACAGAGCAGTTGATGGCACTCTTAAAAGAATGCTTGAGCTGCTCAATCTTCAGATGGTCCGGAAAGTACTACGCTCAAATAAGAGGGTTGGCAATGGGACAACGACTGGCTCCAAGCCTTGCCATTGCATTTATGTCCAAAGTGGAAGCACCGGTGACTGATCTCGGGCCGATACTCTACTGTAGGTATGTAGACGACTGCTTTATCCTTTGCTCAACACAGGAGGAAATGGACAAATGCTTTGAGTTGCTAAACACACAGTCAGAGTACATCAAGTTCACCCGAGAAAAACCGAAAGAAAAATGGCTTCCATTCCTGAACGTGCAACTTCACCTGTCGGAGAATGGCTACATTACAAAATGGTACCGAAAGCCAAGTAGTAAAAACATTTTGGTTCATTACCTCTCCTCTCACCCCTCTAACACGAAAAGGGCGCTTATAAGAAACATGTTTTGAACGGCAACCAACGTGTGTACGGGAAGAGAACGAAGAGAGGAGTCCCGAAACTTGACACGGCAAATAGCCATTTCTAATGGCTACGAAACTGTAGCTCAGGATAGGTCTAGGCGAAATCCTAGGCCTCCAGACAACAACTCTGGCGATAGAAGGGTCTCGTTTATCCTACCCTTTATCTCAAATGATATAAGTACAGCTATAAAACGCTGCTTAAGCAGGGCGGGTTTAGATAATTCGGTACGCGTACTTGAAATACCACCGAGTAATCTTAAGCGCCAGCTAGTTCGTAACCGCCTATATGACCGTCTATGTGCAACTCAAAACTGCATAATTTGCCCCAGTGGTAAAGACGGTGATTGCATGAGCTCGGGTATAGTTTATCTGATCTCCTGTTAGACGTGCGGTGACGAATACATTGGCGAAACGGGCAGACCCCTCTGTGTCCGCATAAAAGAACACCTAGCCGGCAAGCATAGACCAAATACTCCGCTAGGCACGCATAGGACCCAGAGACATAACGGGGAGGACTTTGAAGTATGTGTCACGATCCTTGCACGCGAATCAAGAACACAGGCGCGAAAAACTCTCGAGGCACTCTGGATTAATTCCAGAAATCCGAAAATGAACCGCAGGGAAGAATGCCTCATTATCACGCGTGATGTAGGGCAGTATATAAGACTGCTATTCTGATGAGTGGAGCACATTATGCTTCCATGTGATTTCTGTGCGGTTAGTCTCTACGTGACATACTTAGTGGAGACCTCATAGAAAGCGGTGAGTGTGCAAAGCTGTGTTCAATGTGATTGAAATCTTGGTTTAGAGTTTCTTTGTTTGGTTATGGAGGCGTCTGGCCAAGTAGATTGCTGTCAACTTGACCTTTCCAGGCTCTGAGGAAGGGAAATCCGCCGAAACGTCAGCACATTCGTGAATAAAGAATAATAACACCTCGCGTTTGCTGAACAAAAATACGAAGAGCAATGTTATACCTTTTTTATTTTCTGCCTACTATAATTTCGCTGCGATCAAATTTTCCAAAGTAACGTTTCACTAAGGGCGCCTGTGGCGCAGTTGTTTGAGGCACCACTGCGACGCAGATGTGGAATCGATCCTTACGCCCATGGCCCACCAAGCCTTCAATCCCTCCGGGGTCGGCAAATTGATACCAGACTTGCCTGTAAAGATAGCGGTACTGACTCTATATAACGGCGGGCCACCGCGAGTCATTGTAAAGACCAGATATGCATTCAATCACCTCCAAACGATGCTTAATGATGTTGAATGCATGGCCCATCCCTCAGGGATTGATCAACGCTGAGAGCTTCAGTCGTTATTTTTATGCCATAATTCATTTACATGAAGCCAAAAGCGTTCGAAAAAAAAACTTTCTAAAATATGTGCAAGAAACATGAAATGAAAAATACAACAGTTTCCTACAACCTTATGACTGAGTTGCAATGTTGCCATTACTCGAAATGGAAAACAAAATGTAAAACAAATGAGTCCTCGATAACTCGGAGGCTCCTCAATTACTACGACTATGTTACACTATTTGCTTTGACTTAAGCCCGTCATTTTTTCTAACAAGGCTTCCACTGGAACTTGGCGCAGGTCTTCGCAAATCTTTACCAACTCACCTCATCATCTAAATAGCACTCTTCAGGAAGAATAGTAGTGATTCAGCACAAACACTGTCAATAATTTTTGTATAAAGGTTCTTTTGGATTGCAGTTATGTGTTCGGGTGGTGTTGGTGTCACGTGTCGCTCTAGAGGCCGACTTTTGGGGTGAAGTCGAGCGGATTCAACAGGAACGTCTCGCCTATCACGACGCTCCATTGCTCGTCATAAACACATCACGGCCTCATACGGTAACATTTTCTTCTTTTACCATTACTAATTGAGTTCTGCAGTTTTTGTTCCAATACTTTTATCCTCCACTAGTGCTCCATAGAACATCTTTTTCCTTTGTACTAGTATTTCAAAAATTCTTTTGACGTTGGTTTGATCCATGATAAGTTGAATGTAAGCAATCGAATTATACATATTTAGATACTCAGACTACTTATAGCTTTAATTATCCAAGTTTGAGAATCAACTAGTAGGAAGACCAAACGAAGGATTCGTCGCAGTAAACATACCTTCCTCTGGTCCACTTCATGTGGACCTGAATACGCCCTTGCAAGGTTAAGTCAGACCTACAAAGAGGACCAAGTTGCACAACCAGCAATAGGTCAGCCTCACTACCCCGCACACTGGGTGCTACCGTCTATGACTTCAGGCGGTGAGACCAACGAGAGGCCACAAAATCTCGGGATCGCAGGATGCCATTGGAACCGTACCTGACGAACACGTGCACGACACGCTGTGGAGGTTGTTTCTTACTACGTACGTATAATGCCAAAACACTCTCCACAGACGCCGATCTTCATGCCCTTATTATAGTCGCAGATCGCATTAAACTTCATGTGAACGCATTACAAGAAACAAAAGTCAAGAAGACCGACATACGCCAACTAAACAGCGGTCCCCTTGTTATCCGTGGTGAAAAGATCCCGTCACGAAATGTCGGCGGCGTACGCTTTGTCGTCCACCAATCCATTGTCCAACTCATCGACTCATACGAGATCCTTTTCACTGCATAGCCGTTGTTCCACGTCTTTAACTGACACGTTACAAGAAGACCACAATCATCAACTGCTACTCACCTACCAACGCGGCTGATGAGTACGAATTAGGTCCATTCTACTATCAGTTGGAGGAAGTCATCCGCAATGATAAAGCATATCATAAATTTGTTGTTGGTGACCTCAACGCCAGAATAGGAAAGGCCAACGAGAGCGAATATAGGATCGAAAATTTTAGACTACGAGAAAAAAATGAGATGGAAACCGTCTCGCAGGACTCCTGTCTGCAGCGTGTCTCTTCCATGGAAACTCGTTTTTCCAGAAGAAAGAAAGCCGCCGTTGGATATGGGAATTTCTTAAAGGCGCGACCCATGCGGATACGACCATATCCTGACAAACAGAAGATGGTATCTACTTGACACACCGGTAGTCCCGTCATTCTGTACTGGCTCAGATCACTGCCTTCGCGCGAAGATTCGATTCAGCTGTAAGTTGGAAAAGAATTCTTGTCAATGACCACGACGAAAAAGTTTAGCTGTATACGAGAAGAATCCGGACGAAGCGCTATCCAAACGTAACTGGCAGATTAAAGAGGACCCGACCGAAGTACAAGCTCCATGTCGAAAGAGTGGAAAGCTGTGCCGGATTCTCCTCAGTTCCTCAAGCAAGGAGATCGGATCGCATCTCCATCACTACTAAGGAGTTACTCGAAGACAGCAGGAAGCCGAAGCTTGATCCTACTGCAACATGTTTAACATGGCTAATAATAAATGCCAACTGCAAAAAAAACTTCACAGAAAAATCGACATCGGTACAGACAGGAGAAATTACTGGAAGCACCAGAGAAAAGAAGCAGTCTCAAAAGATGTCGTCGGTACTCGTGTGATTATAACGTTCCGCTGCCAGCTTTGATGAACGAAGATGGGATCTCGTATATAATGCTGAGATATTTGCAAAACTTCGCACCGCAGGTGTTTGCGGTGGGGAACGAACGCGCGCTATTGTCCTTACCGGGGAGTAGCTCACTTCACCACCACACCATCCGGGTCCTTCGCTTTGCCTGTCTCTCAGCTAGTTCTATCGATCTTTTGCCATCAGCAATCACCCGTCAACGGGATTGATCTGGGGAGCCCAAATCGGCATTGAACCCAGTTAAGCTGAGGCTTAGTTATAATCACAGTCTTAACTCTTTTATTTACTGCCTTTTTTTGCTGATGGCAAAAGATCGATAGAACAAGCTGAGAGACAGGCAAAGCGAAGGACCCGGATGGTGTAGTGGTGAAGTGCGCTGCTTCCCGGTAAGGACAATAGCGCGCGTTCGTTCTCCATACACCTGCGGTCCGGAGTTTTGCAAATATCTCAGCATTATATACGAGTTATATTTCGCAACATACCCTGCCATTAAAAAGAAAAAAAAGGCAGTAGACCTAGTTTACGAAAAATCCATCGTGCGGTGGAAAAATTCAACTAGATGGCTGTTCGATTGCAGAGATCACCTCGTACGTATACCTTCGGCGATCATTGAACATTGAAAATAACATAAAGTAGGAACTAGACAGAAGAAGGAGAGCAACTTGGGGCGCATTTGGGCCTACGAAGGAAGCAACCGACCAACTGAAGGACTCGAAAATCCGCGGCCACCTTTTCCATTCAACGGTCCTCCCAGCGCTCTGTAATGCTGCAGAGACGTGGGCTGACACTTCAATCACTTCAAGAATACTCCGCACTAAACACAGCGCTTGAGTCATGTCTTCTGAAATATAGCCGCCATTCTCAATATCACGCAAAAACGCGAAGCTCTGATCTTCGAAATCTGTCACATTTTCGAGATCCAGAAGAATATACATCGAGAGCGAAATATAGGTGGGCCGGTTAGATAATGAGAAGAACAGGCGACAGATGGACGAAAAGAACTGTAGAGTGGACTCTAAGAGAATGCAAACGTTTCCTAGAATGGCCACCTACTCGTCGGGCGGGCGTGTTGATGAAAATGTTATCGTGCTGTACCCGCAGTTGCAGTTATTTTACAGATCACGGTATGAGAGTCGCACCTGTTATCTTATTCGAAGAAGTTCACCACCATGGACGACGGTTACGAGGGAAAAAAGCGAATGGTAAGTGGTGGGGTCCGCACAACTCGTGAGGTCGGACCATCCAAGTATCCGGTTATCCAAGTTAGGCTACCTACACTCACCGAAGTGGAAAGCTTTTACTGAACTAGTCAATTTCATATGTCGGTTCGGCTGCGAATCGATTACCTGTCCTTTGCCCTTATAATTAACATTCTGAATGTTAGCTGAGTATCCTTCTTCCTCCACCCAGTGCTGGCGTAGACAATCGTCGGCCGTCCCGAAAGGTTTGCGGCTTTGTGGCTAGGATTGTTCCTGGACGATAGCATATTCCTTTGTGAGCACCAATTTTTGTCATTCGTTGATTAACCGGTAGAATACTATGTAAGACTCTAAGAAAGGATGTCGAGTTCTAGTAGAACTTGATAAATACCAAGTTCTCTAGCATTGGAACAAAGTTGGTTTTTCTAATCTCTCAACTTATGAAAACATTTGAGAGACAAATGTTTCACAGTTAGTGATGTGATGACCTTCCCTGGATCCTTATGCAGATTTAGAATGTCTACGTAATCATATTTGGATATTCATGCGGCGTCAATGCCAGTCAACGTTTTAGCGCCTGGCGCAGTTTCGATCCCGATACCATATTTCAGCGACTTAAATCTGAAGTATTATGGGAAGGCAAGGCATACGGCAAAAAGTACAGGAATGCTTTTTGATACTGTTCTTTATTCTACTTATCCTTGTGCAATAATTCCATTCGTACCTAGAAATTGAAGTTTAACTTGCATCAAATGTATCCGAACCATTGTAACATCCAATTTTATAGTCTAATTACAATCACTTCTTTGCAGTATTTACATCTGTACCGTTTTTTCTCAGCGATTGCCATAAATTCCCCGTTGTTTTGTATAGTCAACCTCTTGCAGATTAATATTTTAACGTCTATTTTGTCGACTTCAGATTTCCTCACCCAATCAACACACCTTTACAAATGATGTGCATCCTCTGTTGTTCAACAACATCACATCAAGAAGCTCAACCTTCTCACTATCACTCGCGAACAACGGTAAAGAAATAGTGGTGTTGGTGTTCAGGTAATTGGGAAAACTTCAGCGAACACCCGGTTGCAGGTAATTCGTTTCCAACGTCCTTACCGTATACGATCTGTGCACTAACATCATTAGCATGCCAACTTGAACAACAAGGATGTGTAGATGTGGTGCTGTTGTTGGCCTCATATTCTCATATACATTGCGGATTATGGCAGTCTAGGGTGAGTGGTAAAACCAGTTTACTCTCTAATTTTTGTAATTTACTACTTAAATTTCTAAACAGTTTTTTCACAAATGATGATAACGATTTTCAACTGTTTCCAAAAAGTCAACGGATACGATAAGAACCTCATGGGTCGCAAGGTAGAATTCTCACATGATTCTTCATCGGGTGAACCATAAAACATGTCTTTCTGAGCAGATGTTTGCTAGATCATCTTTTTCTTGCGTTGGAAGTCATAATGGGTATAAAAGAACCCTGAGAAGAATGGGAGACATAGAATTCGAAAACTTTTATTTTTTTTAACTAGCTGACATCACATGTTGTGTGGATACCAACTCTTCTTGGAATGGACTGGTTTCGTCGCTCCGTATTCCACTAAACACTATTCCACTTCACAATTTAGTGAAGATTCGATTACTGCTAGAGGATCCTCAGACTTTTGAATGCCGTCGAATGCTGGTCGATTTGATTCTCTCTAGAATCCTTGAACAGCTATGCTAGGTCACCCCGGAACTTTTTATTTAAAAGAGGAAATGAAAAATTGTTGTTTACGAAAAGTTATTCGCTTTCAGCATGATATTGAAATCATCTACGGAAAACTGGCGATCCTCGTCAACACTACAAGGGTATGAACATCTCATCACTTCTACGTTTGTTTATTTGTCTTTTCTGCAAAAAACAAAGATTTTAACGTTTTATTATTGTTGTAAATAAATTAAAAATATGGTATGTTATTTAAGCTCCTAAATAAAAGCCCTCTTCCAATTCTTGTGTTTTGATAAAACATATTAAACATCAGACACCAGATATTTTTACGAAGCCCTACCTTCAGTCTGGGAATGGAATTAGACATCAAAACAAGAACGAAAATACATAACTGGAGTGTCCAGGTGGGAAATTTGCCATTTGATCAGCTACGGTCTAATGTATTCATAATGTATAAGGCGGATTCCGTCGTAATGAAAGTATTTCGACTGTTTGCTGAGGCTTATGCACCTCACTATGTGAATAATCCATCTCCATGAACGAAGACAAAGGCAGCATAGATTCGATTTCACTGGTAAAGTGGTGGTCGGGAAAGATGTTCTTTCCCTGAAATATCGAAAGTTGTGTAACGACTTTCTCACTGGTGGATGGCTCAAAAAATACGTTTGTCGCGTACGATGGAACTCACAGTTCTAAAAGAACACAATGAAACAGAGGTTTTTTTGAAAAACACCCGCCCTACACGTCCCATGCGACTGATAACAAGGTTCACCTAAGCTTCTACCATTTCCAGCTAGTGATGATATCGTTCCTAGGTGGAGCTCCTGGATCAAAATGCCTACATCTTTCTGGTTAGGAGACAATGCTGAGGAATGGAACCTCTCATTGATCCAAATTCTCTATAAAACATTGTGGTTCTTTGGTGACCTCTTTCATAAATTATGTAAACAATACCTGATTTTTCTTGGCAAAAAAGCTAAAGCAAACTAGTCGAACATTTGTAAACAGCCCAGTTTTACCGTAGAATACTTTTTACACCTAAAGTATCTCTATTTATTAACTGTTATGGAATGCATTTAAACATTTGTAAAGATTGTACTCTATTCATGAAATATTCAACACCAAAACACAGAAGGGTGTATATTTGTATATATATTTAGTAAAATTTAGCACACAAGGTTCCTTCAAACGTTTGATGAATTGCAGATGTACACATGAACACATAGCCACACAAGAAAGCCTATAGTGGAAAGAGTCACTTCATTTATGGCACAAATCAAAAGTCAAATAAGACCACCCAAAGTAATTCTATACGAAAATCTAGACCAGACCTACATAATAAAACAACTAAACTTCAACCCATTGCCAATCTTAATTCAGCTGATTTAGTTGATACTGGGATATTTAGTATCAGTTATTTAATCACCAATATGCAGAGATATAAGCAAACCTGGATACCTCAGGAGGGCTTCAAACTCGCGACAACCCTAACCAGAGACTTACGTGCTGTTCACCACACCAATCAAGGCTCTTTCCAGGCCTACCTACTATTCCTGTTGGCGGATGACTGCTGATAGAACAGATAGAGGAAAAATATAGCTAGCAAAAATGCAAAGAAAGGTCCCCGACTGGCTTGGTAGATAGCACGTGAGCCCCGGAAAAAAATCACGGGTTCGACCTGATTAAGGTTTTGAGTTTTGCAAATATCTTAGCATCCTTACGGTTGCGTTTGACATCGTACACTTCCATGAAAAAAAGAATCAGTAATCCAATTCGACCATGTCAAATGCTTGCCTTAATCACCACAAGTTAGAACAGCAGACAAATGATGATCCCGACAAACCACTATGACTTTATATGAAATTTGTAAAAGAATTCGAATGTTACCGACCGGAATTGTGCATTCTCAACAGGTTGGGTTTGTTGCAAAGTTCTTGGTATAGCCGACTACGTAGACTTCGTCTACACAATATGGTGGCATCTAGGAAACACCAGTACTTGTAAGGATAGTATTGGACTCCGTAAGAGTGCTTTGTTGCTGGTGAAACGACTGTTTTTCTACCTGAAAACACGAGCTGGCCCTGCTATTGTGTTCTCCAGCTCATTGAAACAGGTCTAATTAATGTGGATCGTAGGGCGATTTAATACTCAAACTTCCTCTTTCATCATGTCTTTATATGTCCACATTCCGGATCACCGCCAGATTCCCTCGCTAACAATATTTTGTAGGTTTTAGGCAGCCTTTATATGAAAACAACAGTGTTCCTCTCAAATAAATAGTAGCTTACGTGAAAGTCCCTAACGGAGGATATTATTTTAAAAATGTCGAATTATAAATTTAATCCAAGTCCTTCATGTTCCTTAAGGTACTTATAATACATATATGCGAAAATTAAAAACTCAGTGATAAAAGTACTAGTCGATAATATAGCTATTTGAAAGGAAGAAGTAAACAACTTAGGCCATTTGAAAGATATGTAGAGGTTCAGAAAGTTCGGTAAATAAACGTACGTGAAAATACTATATACAAGAACTATAATATAAGCGGATATCTACTCTACTGCTTGTTCGTATCGTATCCTCCGATGCCACGAAACCTACACCTTTAATGGTGTTGGATCCAAAGCAATAAAAACTCAAATCGATGAGAAAAAAAACATGTAAAGCAATGCGGTTTTGATAAACAAAAGAACAAGCATTGGACAAGATTTTCAGATGTTCAAAAAACCTGCGTGTCATCATCTACTTTTGTGCTCATCAACGGACGTCGGTCGTTCGATTTCATGAAAACAACCTGAAAAATTAACGCCAATATCGGCATTGAAAATAATATCCGACTTATAAATAAAATCTTGGTCCAACCAACCTTCTTGTCCATCTCCTGTTTCTTCACATAGGTGTACGCTGCTGAACCAAATAGAACAATAGCATTGCTTGTCCACCTAAAAAAACCCTCACAGCCACCTGAGAATCTCGAATTACTCAAAAACCCATTCAGTTTCTCGATTGAGAGGAGCATATTAATGAAACATAAATAAGTACCAGTAAGTCATGAACATTGACTAACCACATTAATGTCTTGATTTCTGAGAAGTATATAACTGCTATAACTGTTTGCGCAGCAGCCTTTGCAGTACCTGATATGTTGTGGGTAAGAGCAGAGGTGGCCTGAAGCTCTCACCTTAACTTCATGAAAAAATCAGTTCTGCAAAAATGCCACAAGACTCATTGAGTACTTCTACGGCACACGCTAACAAGATGAGAACAAACCTGAATTTGCCATCCTGTAACGTACCCCATAAGAAAACCCATAACACCTGAAAGCGTCATCCATGTCCAAAACACTGGACTAAACAGTCGTGGAAAATACATCAGCTCGCCGATTTCTCCACTGTAACAACCGACATGTGGACAAAAACTTGATTAAGGCAACGACGAGAATTCCTGATAGAATGATATACTACATGGAACTCACAATAAAAGCATCAGTGGCAGAAACAGCATAATAGCGTTAAGGTTGTTGTACATTGTTAATCGCCAAATGGAGTCTCCAACAATAGAAAGCGAGCTAAATGTGGTCACTTTTTATTTACTGTGATGTGAAATGTACCTACAATAATACTGAGGTATTCGCAAAACTCCGGACCGCAGGAGTCCACTTCAGCTTAACTGGGTTAAACGCCGATTTGTGCTCTCGAGATCAATCCCGTTGAAGGATAACTTCTGATGGCAACCATATTTAATAACATGGCTGAGAAAAAGATGAAATGTAGGACCTCTACGAGGTGGTAGGTAACACGCCAATACCCGAAAAGGGTGGTAGCGAATTCGATCTCCACCGCAGACCCATACGGTCCAGAGTTTTGCAAATATCTCAGCATCGTTGTAGAGAGCCTAGTTTTTAAATTAGGAAAAAAGATAAATTTAACAGAATAATTAAGATTTTCTGAGGCACTATGTCATCACTTTGATAGCATCAGTATTCCAAGGCGGTTAAAACTAAGAATTTTTAACAGCTGTTGTTACAGGAAAACTTGGCTTATAAACCCTCCATGTGCTCAGACGTGTGATGTAGAAACTGGTTTCCAACTGTAACACCTTATCCTACTCTTATACAGCAGAAAGAGAGCGCGTAGTGCAGTGGTCGGAGGCATCCTGTAATACACATGGGATCGATCCCGGCGCCTCTGATCCACCAAGCCTTCCATCCCTCCGGAGTCGGCAAATTGGTACCAGATTTGTCTGGAAAGATAGCAACACTGCTCGATACATCGGTAGGCCACTGCTAGTAATTGTAAAGCCCATATTATCCATTCAATCACCTCCAGCGATGCTTAACGAAGTCCGATGCATGCCACAACCTTCAAAGATTGATAGACGCCGAGAGCTTTATTATTTATCCTTTATACAGTAGAATTTATGCCTTTAGACTTCAAAAACGACTTCGCAAATGCTGTTTCCATCTGAACATGAATCCTTTGTGGTGAAGCAGAAGACATTGTAAAGGGATATTCTACACTCTTTTCTTAATATGAACGCATTTGCTACCGTTCAGAAAGTTTTTTCTTCTTTACAAACGCCCCCTTTGGACACATACGATTAACATAAAAGTATTACAGGCGACGTTAATCTCTGATTTACTGCCTAGTACAACTTTTTCACGGCAAGGTATTATGTAGGATAGAACCAAAACGTGCAAATTAGACACACAGCTAAATGGGGCATGAAGTTTAAAAAAAGTAGAAAATGGTAAAGTGTTAAAGCAAAACTATTAAGAACTTTGGCCAGTTGACCTCTGGATTCCAAGGAACCACAATGGCTTAACCAGGAAATCTCCGAAAAGTGGAGAATGTGCTGGGGAACGCAGAACCAGTGAGGACGGGCCATTTAAGTATCAAGTATCAAGTAAAAACCTTGTATAAAAGCTATAACATGATCTTTACCTATATAAAACATTAAAGATACCTCTGAGTATAAATGGCATTTAATGCAACACAAAGTGACGCTAGAACTCCGTATAAAACTCCAATTACCGAAAGGGAGCCTAAATCGGAACTGGAGTTAAACAATAATAGGTAGGAACAGAAAAGGGAAGGCTTTTATGCCCTAAAAAACTGTTTAAAAACCCACCAGAAGCATCCTCTTGATCAACTCCCACCAAAAAACCAGCAATAATTAAAACACAACAGCATATCGCCCGTCCAGAAGTGCTTTGGCCAAGAATTATGTATGTACAAATCTAGAACGTAAGCGATTACTTCCCGTTTGAATTGTACGTATGTCGAGCTAGTAACCGAATTCAATCTCGAACAGAAACTACGTTTTAAGTGTTTCATATTAGCAAAGGAATGACGACTTGACACCGTCTTATTGATGGTTTTCTTACCTACTTACTTCCTGGGATACTTGGATGGCCCGTCATCACTGGTTGTGCAGAACGCCAGCTAATTTCCACTTTTTTTTTCGGAGTTTTGACAGCTTAGCCATTGTAGCTCCCTGGAGTCCCCCGGTCAGGTTGGTAAAGCCGCTCCAAGTCGTCACCACCACAGGCAGTCGCAGCCCTTGCGGATCAGATTTGCCACCAAGCGACTAGTTTGATACCAGGACGGTGGTGGATTCCGGTATTTGTTTACTCTTAGCTGGGCTTCTTGAGGGAAACACCAGACTCATTCCCAGCATGGAAGCCTCTGCAGGGTGGATGAATTCTCCAGGTGCACATCGCAGCCCGACACCCAGGAACACCTAGCCACGATGAGACGGTAGACTGTTGGGAGGTATTGATGGTATTCCCAAGAAACAATTCAGATCTTTAATCAGTAAACCCATAGCAGCCTTTTCTTTATAGTTAACGAAATTTATGGCACTTTGTTGCAAAAAGAAATGTAAGAACAATATTTGAAGAGGAAAAGACAATGAAAAGCTGAAATATGAAAGAAAACTGAAACACTCACGACGTTGAAAACAGTAGTTAAACTACGTCCAATGTAATAGAATGATACTCCAACATATTTGAGACAAAGATTATTAAAAGATATCATCCCAACGAAGACAACAGAAAGTGGTAATATCTACAATAGCAATAGTTATATACAAAACTGACGATGCTTAAGAATAAAGTATCGCACAAATATTAACTTTTCATTTACTTCCCACCATAATTCTTCATAGCAGGGTATTACGTGTGGAACAATCGAACGATTTATCGCATAAATGTTCTACTACAAGGAATTAGCGCTCAGAAAGCACTAGTACTGGCTGAATGACACTATTATTTAGTCACCTCTTATTGATTGCTTTATGGCAGAGGATGATGTGAAATATAACCACAACGGTGTCGAGATATTTGCAAAACTCCGGGCAACAGGTGCTTACCGTGGAGATCGAACCCGTTATTATCCTTACATGGGTTATTTTCATACCTCTCTGCTAAGTTTCGCATCGATCGTCATTCGCGGAAAATTGATGGTGTGAGGGAAAGTTTTCGATAGAAATGACAGAGAGAAGCATAAAACAACGGTGATCACACACTGGAACCAAGTGACGATGAGAGGTGCATTAAGCTGAAATAAAAATATAACAAAGTTAAATTTTCTCCATATAAACTCTAAACTATTGCCAACCTGTAGTTCATGGCTGCTGAGTAAATATTTATTGAGAAAAACTAAGCCAATCGAACAGGTCCTGAAACACGACAGCATATGAACAAACTTTACCTCAATGGATAGAAAGCAGAAAAAGAAAGACGAAAAAAGAAAAGTACGCGTTCTTTGTGTGAAACTCTGGACCGTAGGCCCGAATCTATCGTAAAATCTCCCTTAAGTCTTCCTTTCTCTTCTTTTTCCTTCTCCTCTTCCTTTTCCTTAATTTTCCTCTACTTTCCTTCCTTTCCCCTTCATATTTTGGTAATGGTACTTGAATAATAAACAAAAAACAGAAGACACCAGGAATTTAACACACAACGATTGACGCTGGCTTTTTCGACAAATCCTCAACCACTAGAGTTAACGACTTACGTTATACGAATTAGTTCGATCGTTCTAGAGAGAGATAAGACTTTTCGAAAATATCCCTTCAACAACAAATTTGTCTAAAACTAAAACTGTGAAAAATTTGAAAACGAGAGTTAAGTTCTAAAATTTCCGATGGATATCTTACAGCCACAAGAACCTTAGATACATTGGAACATACCAACATGTCCTGGCGGACGAGACACCACCTGTGCAACAGCCTTCGTCTTCAGGGTACGAAGTTCAGCGTAAAAAACAGAGGAAAAAAGTGTGTTTTGTGGGTTCTAGGAAATAAGCACATCAGCAAATCTTGGTGAAATACGGACATTTTATCAACATGGCAATGCCTCGTTGATTACATGTGCACCGATTTCCAATAATAAGGTTCACTACGAGCTGAAATATGCTCGTTCAAACTCGAAAGTAACTACCGCTTTCGAATCAGATGCATTGAAATCAATGCGTACCAGTTTTATATAAAAAATACTCATTTAGCTCTAGAAATATTGCAACGGTGAATGCACATGCACGGATAGTCATTGTATTTTGTGGCAAGAAAGAAGAAGAAACCTTGAAGAGGATAAACCTACCAGTATGCAGACACGGCAGCAACGACCTTCAAGTAACGTTCATTCTTGGATAATTCCCTATCATCCGACATAACCAACTGAAAATATCGTAATATAAATAAGTAATATATTACTAACTGATTCAGATTAATCTTTATAAGATTGTATTATTGAAATGTTGACGCTTCGGCGGATTTCGCCTTCCTCAGAGGCTGGAAGGGTCAAGTTGACCGCAATATACCCAGCCAAACACCTTCATAACCAAGCAGAGAAAATGCTAAACTGGTTTAGGTGTTTGGATAGAGGCTGGGTAGACTGCGGTCAGCTTTATCTTGCCAGGCTTTAAGCAAGGCGAAATCCGCCGAAACGTCAGTTTTTCCGAAATGAAGAATAAAGTAACACCTCGTGTTTGGTCGCAAGAATAAGAACAATGATTCGATCAATTCCGAGGTTGATAGAAAGTCGGCCGTGGGAATCACTACAAGATGTGTCTGGATGGTTCAGATTATTCAAATGATTTACTTCCAAATACACTTCCCAGTATGGAGGAAGGCCTATGGGAGGATTTCTTGGCGTCAGTACGCAGAAACAGAAATAAGGTTAAAGAAAACTGAAACACATTAGATTTCTGTACCATGAAATGATGAGTGGACCAGAATAAACGGATGAAAAGCAGGAATATCCACCTGTTAGCTATGTTCTAGTTGGTTTAGAACAAAATCTTCGCAGTAACTGTAATATAGGTAAAGAATTCATCACTAAAGGCCGGCAAAACCTTAACGGACAGAAAAGAGTAGCCCTTTTCATAAAGGGTTTTTGCCACGCAAGCACTAAACCCGCGCCTATGGACCGCCGTCATGGCGCAGCACAAATCCACTGATGACGCGATCGTCATCGAATTTGTATAGTTCGAAAAGTAATAGCTAAACTTGTTATGATTCCCTTTAACAGGTCCACACTAAGCAAACAAAAACAGAAAAGAAGAAGAGGAAAGAAAAAAGGAGAAAGGATAAGCGCTTGGAAATCCTACCGCTATCGATGATCCCGGGTGATCGAAACGGGATGGTTGAGGATTGGCGTGTATCGGAATTTGCATTAGGCTTAGCTAAAATCAGCAATATAAAGGATAAAATCAGACCATGAATGAGAAGCACGAAGCCAAACACATCTCCTCAGCGAATTCGACCAATACCGGCTTAGTCTATGTTCTCTGTTAGTCGTTTTAATAGTTAACAAGTACGAAATGGATTATTCCAAGTCATTAAGCTTCTTTCTGAGCATAACAAGGAGAAGATAAAAAGGAGAGAGGAAGATATGAAGGGAGGAACATACATATAGACAAAACATTCCAATATCTGGCTTGTTCGAATCAATTAGGCGTACATTCTCACAATCTCAACCATTTTTGGCAACAAGCCGACAACACTGGAAAAAAGCCAATAGAAAACACAAGTACTTCACAGTACTTAGTAGTTAGCACGGAATTCCCGCTCTTTTTCCCCGTACCACCGCATCCAGGTTCCGTCAAAATCCAAGGAAAGCGGTGTAGAGATCGAGCGGTATGGAGCGAAAACCTACGGAGACTATCAAAAATAACGTCAACTACCTTAGATTCACTAGTTTCTATACTTTTCGAGCTTATATCGAACCATATTCTTGCTGAGGTTTCAATGAAAATAACACTGGGTAGAAACTGGCCGAGAGAATAGAAAATCAAATGCCTTTAGTGGTGCAATGGGTAACACGTGAACGAACCCCTGGAAAGGCGCAATCACGGGTTCGAATCTGGCCCGAGGTCCAGTTGCGTTTTACATCACGCCCTGCCGTGAAAAATAATAACATATGGTAAATAAAAAGCTAACACTTTGAAAATACAGTTTGCTTAACTGGCATGTGCAGCTAGGCCTTACGACCATAGGGCTTGTTGTTCCCCTAGTATTCTTAACGTTGCTAAGTGTTATCGGGTTCTAATCGTAAAATATCTTATCCTTGGGTGACACGATATCATCAAATGAATAATATTGTACACTTCTTGAAATTCGTTTCGTTTCCTCTCATCCACCATTCACATAGATCTTCGCATTTCTGTCTGAGTATGGATTCGACTGCTGGTTGAGAATTTTTGTCTTCGTCACGACTACCATTAAATGCTTATCGAGTTGATCCTCTCTAGAGTCTTCAGATAACTGGGCTAGAGCATGCCTACTTGGATTGGAAGGAATGAGCCTGTTCTAAACAATCCTGGTCTCAATCTCTTGGCCCCGTTAGCTTGAGAGGCGTGGTCAGCCCGTGAAGCTTGAATAACCGTCTAAGTAGATTGGGCCGTTCGCGTAATGAATAGGACCACTGCCACAACGCTACCCTCACCCAGATGTTTAAAACTTACTTCATCAACTTGATCTGTATGGGTTGATTTCTTAACTTTTAGCGATTTGCCGCCGTTGGTAGGTGTCTTGAAACTGCGATATGCAGCGGTAAGCATAAGCACACCTATTTGGGAAGTACCTGAGACTGACTTCCACTCCCATATTTGCTCACTATGGCTCTTAAATGGTTATTAAGAACTTCGAGAACTTGTGAACTCAAAACACGCTAGATTTATTCTAAGAAATGTAACACGGAAAAGCACTGGTCAAAGAATCAGCTCATCAGGAAAACCACATAAACATTGTAAAAATCAAACTCCGGTCAATGATTATACACTTTGCAAGGCATTAGATCACACAGAGGGAAAGTTAACATTGGGAAATTAGAAAGAACTCGTGAGTGGTGCTAAAATTGCTGCACCCGACGTCGCCTTTCGCTGATAGGAGCCTTTGTACGATCGACTGTTTCGTCAAAAAACCTGGAAATTAATGGTATTATGCGGTCACAAGAATAGTAGATGAGGAATATACGAACACTATGTATAACTGCAATGATGCTGAGATATTTGCAAAACTCCGGACCACAGGTGTCTATGGCGGGGAACGAATGCGCTATTACCCTTCCCGGAGGTTAACGCGTTTACCACCACACCATGCACCTTCTATTTACAACTTATTACAGCCTCAGTTTAACTGGGTCTCAATTTCAATTTACATCTCAATTTAAATTAAGGGCGCGTGTGGCGTAGTGGTCGAAAGCGCTTTACAATACACATGGCATCGATCCCGGTGTTCCAGGCCCAACAAGCCTTCCGTCCCTTCGGAGTCGGCAAATTGGTACCACAGTTACCTGTGAATAGCAGCACTGACTCTATACATCGGTAGACCACCGTGAGTCATTGTAAAGACGAAATATGCATTCAATCATCTTCAACGATGCTTAATGAAGTCGAATGCATCGCGCATCCCTAAGAGATTGAACAAGGCCGAGAGGTTTATCCCTTTTTTATCCACTCTAACTTCCTGTATGACCAGTTAATAAAGTAATTCTTATGTTTTAAAACTCTGCCTACCCAGTGAAGTAAACACGATGCTTTATTCCGCATCTCATGAACTTTTATTTGAGACGTTTAAGATATCATACTACGATTCTACTAGCTTCTTTTTCCACTTCACTGGCTATAACATTTATCTCTAAACCTACGTCATAGAATCTATTAGGTACAAAAAGAAAAAGGTCAATTCGAGGTTCACCCATCTTTTCGTCATGCATTCGACACCAGCAAGCATCACAAAATATCACATAACTGCACGCATATTTGCCCTATACAATGTCTTTCGATAGTGTTCCAGTGTAACAAATCACTGTTTTTTTAAATTCCGACTTGCAAATGCGGTACTACGTTTCTTATGACAACGGTAGTGGCTTAGCACTCGATGTGGGTTAGAACCAATGACCATGTTTATTTTCTAGCGTCTATAACCACTGCACAACATGCTCCACAGAAAGTAGCCGAAACATATGGTTATAACTCGTGAAGAACTTTGTATCAGAGTAGAAGTCTTCATAACGAATAAATGAGATGAACGTCTTTTTCAGATCAAACATGAAAATATTTTCTCAACAATAATGGTTCGGCAAGAGTTAATAATTTTCCCTCATACACGTTGAAGTAGCAGAGTTAACAGCTTTCCTTGCAAGTTTGCTTGCCTAGCGATAAGAACGTTTTTGGTTAATGTTAGCGAAGGAGCAAGTACCTATGTGTGCGCAAGGTCGGAGTTTACACTTTCACATAATGTGTCACCTTTGGGAGAATTAGGGGTACAAACGGTAGTGCATTGGTTAAACGCTGAGTGAGATTTCATTGGTTATACGCAAGAGTTGTAAGTACTTCGAAACGTGAAAGATATTCACAAGGAATTAGAAGACGGGCAGTATATGGAAATTACTGGATACTTGATCCTTGATACTTAAATGACCCATCCGCATTGGTTGTGTGAGCCACAGCATAATCTCCACTTTTTGGAGATTTGCTGGTTAAGCCAATAATGGTTCACTGGAGTCCTGAGGTCAGCTTGGCCAAAGTCTGCCCCAAGTCTTCACCGCCACAGGCAGCAGCATCTTGTGGATCAGCGGTAGATTTGCGACTTGAATACCAGGATGGTCGTGGATCCTGGTATTGGTTTCCTCCTGGCTAGGCTTCCTGATGGAAACGTGGGACTTCTTCTCAGCTTGGTAGACCGTGCCAGGGGATGAATCCACCGCTGTACATCGCAGTCCGACAACCAGGAACACCTCCTAGCCACGATGAGGCGGTAAACCGTTGGGAAGGTATATGAAAATTAGAATTTGGAAAGGCAAAGATTTGGGTCCCAAAGAGATTTTCACCGGAACACGAAAAATTTTAAAATTATTGGGATACAATAACAGTGAGGAATATGACCAGTGCAAATGCTTTTCGTATATTACTTCATCGATTGTTACGAAATGAAACGGTTGTCCTTTTCAGTTGTGCCTAATTATCGAACGTTTTGCCACTTAGATGGTTCCAGAACGCTTGGAAATTACGAACAACAGGAGGAACAAAGTGGGAAAAAATTTTAGCCCTTCCCTGTCACGTTACGAAATCGTCATATCAAGGACATAGACATGAGTGTAATCGTTTAGAAAATGAACTATTTTGCACTCAGAACATTTTCTTAAGTCATATTTTTCAAATTCTAGAGTTCAACACCCCTGCCGCCGATTGTTACATCAATGGATATTTCAAAAAGAAAGTTCAGAATCCAGTATTTTTTCCAATCAGCATTTAAGCCCATGTTTTGGCTACTACTCTAGTCGAATCCACCTAATTGTTGTGATGATAACTTATGTAAAGGACAAAGCATAAATCTCAACGTTGACCAATCCCTGAGGGATGCGCCATGAATTCAACTTTATTAAGCGTCGTTGGAAGTGTCTGAATGCATCTCTGGCCTTTACAATACTCGCGGTAGCCTACCGATCTATCTAGCCAGTGTTACTGCCCTTCCAGACAAGTATGGTACCAGTTTGCCCACCCCGGAGGGATGGAAGGCTTGGTAGGCCATGGGCACGGAGATTGATCCCGTATGTATTGCGGTAAGCCTCCGAGCATTGCGCTACACGTGCACTTAGGACTCATGTGTAAAGCAATATCACTCCCGATAACGATTTCCGTCAGAAAGTCTTGTTTCCACGAAGTGAATCAGAGACTATGACATGATTTTGTTTACAAGAGTGGAAGATGAATCCACTTTGAGTGAAAAATTCTACTGTAAACGTTCTAAGCAGATGACCAGAAAACTAGCCCATATTTTAATGCAAGGTAAATCCATTACTTTCTCATACTTTCTTCAGAAATAGTTCCAAAAAACTTGCATGATTTCTTTCCAATTCAATAAGTAAATATAAAGTTATTCGCTCTTTTTCCTTGGAATAGCTTTCTGGGTTATAAAAGCACTGAAAAACACCAAACCTAGCTAGAGCCATACTTGCAGTCGAACCAGGTGGAATAGAACGAAGACAATTTATATTCATTCTATAAATGAAAAAATTTGGATATTTCAGCAAACGAGAAAAAAATAAATTTCTAACTCACTTATTGTATGCCGAGGGACCTCTATGAGGTGCCAAATCTAATTTGCAACCGACGGTTAATATTGGAATATGACAAGATTCAATATCCGCCGTCAGAGAACGCGAAATTGATGACGAAGTTGGACGAGGTTTGCCATCTATTAAAGAAAGCCACTGTGAAAGGTTCTAAAGGAAAAGTGTAAGAATCTTAGGCAATAACATATGCATATCGAGACCCGAAAATGTTAAAACCTCAGTAGTACGCTGTAAAATGTGAAAGCGGAAATGAAGCACTGAATCAACAAACTTCTTCACTTTTCTTATTACTCAAGTCATGCACTAAGATTGCACCAGCAGCGCCATCCAGAAAAACCACAGAAGCGGCACGATGGGCACCTGACCCACCAATATCCCACAATTCCATTAATTCCGAACGTTGTTCTGATGTACCTGAGAAGAAATGAGTTTCAAATGATGTTAGCCTACATTCCTGAACTAAGGAAAAAAGAACTTTGAGAAGAGTATTTATGATGAATATGTGGACCTGCTTTGTATTCATGCCATACCATCGCGATTGAAGCCCCTATCGTACTCGGGCAATCAGCACTTGGACTGGAATAATAACACAGTTTCCAAACGCAATCGATGTAGACGTAGTTTATCACATTACAAGTTTCATATACAAATATCACACTGAAGAAAATGAGTTCTAACCTTTCCTAGGCTTTTGAACGTTCTGCTGTTAAACCTCAGATTACTAGTAAGAACAGCTATTCGTATGACAAGCAAACATAAGAATGCTACTACATACTACTTATTCACAACAACTAACGTTCCAGCGGTTTTCGCCTTCTTATGAGGATTAAAAGGTCAGGTTAACTGCAATATAGTCAGCCAAATACTTCTTTGATCCAGATAAAAAAGTACCATAATGCTTAATTTTCAATTGCATTGGAAATAAAACAGTTTCTTAACACACGCTACCTGTGAGTTTTCAACTGATTATTCCACGTGAAAACGAACCTCATAGAGTTTACATTCATGGCTAAAGCACCTCTTAAATATTAACATATCAAGATACAGTGTGAGATCTCACATGATAATAAAGCATTTTTCTCTGCAGTTCATTTTTGGAATCTTGGAATTTATCCAGAATGCTTCGAGGGTTTTGCACGCTGATACTTTGGATTACTGTGCCAAGGCAGTGGCTTCTGCTTCAACAACTAGTATTGGAGCAGCACCTAATATAGTTTCACAATTACTAGATCGTTAAAAGAATACTATGATTTTTTAGCTCTCAACTTTTAATATGTACATTTCACCTCAAACTAAATGGGACAGATGTAAATAGAAGCGAGTAAAACATAGAAATCTTTACTAACGCAATAGAGGACAAAAAAAGCTCTCAGTGTTGATCAATCCCTGAGGGAAACGCCATGCATTCGACTTCTTTAAAGATTTTGGAGACCACTGAATGCATATCTGGCTTCTGCAGTGACTCACGTGGCCAACCGATGTATCGAGCCAGTGCTGCTACCCTCCCAAACATGTCTCGTACCAATTTACCGAACCCGGAGGGATGGAAGGCTTAAAGAGCCTGGGGCACGGGACCGAGCCGAGGCGTATTCCAGGGCGCATCCAACCTCTGTGCTACACGAGCCCTACTACGAGATACAGGCCTATATGCTTCACAATAAAAACCTAGTTAGGCTAATGAGGCCCAATCTTCTGAATGTATAATCAGCAGAAGTTTCCCTATTCAAAACTCTCAGCAAGTTTTTGACGACCTCGTTTAAAAATGTTAATTTAGCTTCGAGAGGTATTTCGCTGTCCTGCCTTTCTCTACATACCTCACGATATAGTAAGATGTGATGTAGAACACTTTTCAGTAGAAATCAAAACACAATCAAGAAACGATATAAAGAATTACAATGATGCTGAGATATTTGCAAAACTCCGGACCGCAGATGTCTGCGTCGGGAAACTAACGCGCCATCAAACGCCTTTCCGGGGGCTATCGCGTTTATCATCACACCATAATGGCGCATCCTTTCCTTTTCTCTCAACAGTTTTGTAGGCGCTATCAGCAAACAGGGCGTGTGGGCAGTGGTCGGAGGCGCCCTGTAGTACACATGGGATCGATTCCCGTGGCTCACCAATCCTTCCCTCCCTCCGGGATGGACAAATTGGTGCCAGATTCGCCTGGGAGCATAGTAGCACTGGCTTGATACATCGGAAGGCCCCCGCGAGTCATTGTAAAGGCCAAATATGCAATCAGTCATCTCCAACGATGCTTAGTGAAGTCGAACGCACGGCCCATTTCCCAGGAATTGATTAACGCCGACAGCTTTATCCTTTATCTTTTTTACCAGCAATCACCCGTTAACGGGATTGATCTGAGAAACGCAAACCGCCATTAAACCCAGTAGGTCAAAGCTGCAGTGTAAATCTGGGTGAACTGTTGATAGCACCTAAAAAAAAAGCTGAGCAAAAGACGAAACGAGAAACCTTTACGATGTGATGGTGAACGCATTAGCCCCCGGAAAGGATAGTAGCGTGTTCGATCCTTATCGCAAACACCTGTGGCCGGAGGGCTTGCAAATATCTCAGCATCATCGTGGTTATATTTTACATCACAGCTTGCCATTAAAAAAGAACAGGCATTAAATAAAAAGTAAACAGGTATTGAGAATGCTCTCTATCACCAAGAGAATCCTCTCAGTCGCTTTAGACAAATAACAGTTGTGCTTTCTACTATATCAGCTGCAGTGTCCCTATGTGGCAAGTGTAACATTATATCCTATGCAATATTAATTGTTCAACCTCTGAACGGTTGCTGATCGTACTCTGTATTTGTCTAATTTATTGACTTGATAATGATTTAATTACCAAAGTTTGAAGTCTGATCTAAAGTATGAATAAAACTCCTGCGTGTAAGGATAGAAGAAGGAACCGGTATCGAGTTAGTCGAGAGAAGCAGAGTTTTTCGTCGAGCAAACCAAGCGCAGAAGAGATTTAATACAATGCTCCCTGGATTTCTTGAAGCAATGTGGGACGTATTTGTTGAGCTTCGCTTGGGGTTTCCAAACTATTAATACCGTTTTACTTACTTACCCGTAATTCCTCCACAAAATTGAACCATTGTGCATAGATCTATCAGCCGTCTCCATATAGTTGTCCTTGATTCAACCATGCCTCGTGCAAACCAGGCATCCAAAACTAAGGATTCTGAAAGCCGGTACCAGATTTCTGTGAAAGAGTGATGGTATTCGAGTCAGAAAGCCGTTGACTAGCCGTAGCGAGGATTTGGGAACGTTCTAGCGGAGCTATTGGAGGATTTTGAGAAGAATCTACTCGATCAGTATTCAAAAAATTTGCGAGGAAGACAAAGTCCTCAGGTGAAAGCCGGACCCATATGCAAATCCGAGGACTTTCGTAATTTACGGATTCGAGACAACGATCTGAATGAAAGATGTGGTAAGATCAGCATAATGAGTGAAGTAGAGCCGCATAAAACATGTACTGAACGTTGAACACCTCACAGATAAACAACTGTTTGTGGGCACCTCACAGAAATGCAGCCCACTTCCATCATGACTGCTTCAGGATAGTTGTAGTTGTGAACAATTGTAAAAAAGTGTAAAAAAAAAAGCCTTTAATTCAATTAGTCCGCTATCACACGTACCACGTGCAGTCATTCTTCCACTATTCTTCGGAATTCGACAAGATACTCTTAAAAATTAGCACTTACTGTATTCTAAGCCATACATATATATGTATATATATATATATATATATATATATATATATATAAGAGCACACAATGAAACACTTAAAACCTAATAGAAGACTGATTCTACATTGTATATTACGTATAATTCTGAAATAAATTTCCCGCCTCATCGTAAGTGCGTTCCAAACTACGATGTATATGCCCTCGGTGGACGCTCGACGAAAGCTGCCCAAAAATTTTTGGTTTTAGCTCAACCATTGGTGGAGCATCGGATACTCAAGGTACCCTTCGATGCAGGGACTGGGCAAAGGGGAGCAAGAGTCTTCTTTGGTGAATACCCGAGGGAGGCTGGACATTCATCCTCAAATCATGATCTCCCAAGCAGGAAAATACATACCATATTTCCATCCAGAAGCCCTACTGAATAAGCCAGCGCTATGAATGACAGCTATTCCAGCAACAAAATAACCCATAGCTAACTGGGAAATCCAGTACGACTTGCGACACCCCAGAGAAGAACAATGTTGTCCAAAGAGTGAATCACCAGTCAAAAGGAAATCGCACTGAGATCAAACAAATAAGGATTCCACATACCTGCCACAGACAGCGTTAACAAAGGAAGTTTTTCCGACACCACTTTCTCCAACTATGACAATTTTAGTCGACGACATCTACAAAGAGGGAATAATTTTCAGAGACAACAAAGACCAAATTAACCACGTCAAGAGAAGATCAATATATACAACCTTCGACAACACCTTATGAAGTGGAATTGCCTGTTTTCACAACTTCTAAACAGAGTGAACAAGACCCGCACTCAAAGATACCGACGTCGATAATTTTTTGAATCTAAAACAACACAATGATTAGCTCTAAATAATCACTGGGCCCAGAGCCGCGTCGATCTAGCGCTTGAGTGGGTTGGGTTGCCTACATTGTGTACGAAATTACTACCACTGCGCCATCTTTTTTATTCACTATTCAGTAAATTAAATGCTAATGCAAAATACAAAACATTACGAACATCCTCTGATGTTATTTCGTATTTGTCTCCACAACGACAGAATTCCACAATAGGTTCGGTGTCTTCTGGACGGACTTCAAGCCTCTCAATAATAGTTCCTTTGCTTTCGCAGTATTGTTGCTCTCGAAGCCAAAAATCGTACTCTCGACGTTTCTCCGGATTCTTAAAGAGACCAATTTGATGCAGTCCACTGGTGTCACATCTTAAACTCCTAGTTTTATAAATGAGTCTTGAATATCATTATCGAGACAAAACTCTTATGGTAAACATTACACATAAAATGCTTTGCCTTAAGAATACTCCAAATATAAGTCGCAAACGTGATAGCTTCTCCGTCCTCCGGATTTGCTGCTTTGTCAGGATGAATCCTTCGAAGATAGGAAAAATACGCACGCTTCACTTCCTCGGCACTAGCGCTTGCGCTAACCTGTAGAATGTCGTAGAAACTACGCATAGCCCACCATCATTCCTAGAAAAGTTGTGATTTACATACTCATCTAACTTGAAAATCCCATCCAAAATTCATCCAACATCCCTGAAAACAGTTAATCAGCAAACCAGTTTGTGATACTTAGTTGATGTGAAAAAAGCCGCAATATTGGGAACTGACGCCAAAGGTGACCAGATAAACGATGCAGTACTAGGGCGAGTAGCATAAACAAAGAGACATTAATGACTTAACAAGTCGTTGTATACAAAAAGAAGGTGCTTGATTTAGATTTATTCAGTCATTACATTCTTCGTACAAAGATGTAGCTAAAATAAAGCAACAATAAGTAAAACACGGAGATCTGACTACTAGCACGATTACATACTAATATCTTTACAAGACTCATAGTTCAACTACATATATACACATATATAAGACCCATATATATGTATATACAAGGAACGTATATATGCATATATCAAATCAACAGGATTCCTATAGTACAATCTTATTATGATCCGAAACCCACTTAAACGATCGATCACTTTCACTCGACTAGGTCTTAAACACATCGCATTTTATCTAAGCAAACAAAACCGCGTAATTATACATAGATACGACATGAACATGAACACAGCACTTTTCGATGCTCAATGAGAAGCGAGAAAATACAGCGCTTAATCTACCATATCAAGATTAGACATTGGTACCACCGGCTTAACTGGATGTCTCTCAAGTTCCTCACGATGTGGAGAGATAACACGACGACCAGTAGTAGTCTCATTGCTAGTACGCTCCCGATGTAGCACCACTTTGTAACTTATCTAAATCTGGGCCATTTTGTGAAAACTCGAAGAATGTAGTTGTGTGGTAGAAAACAACAGACATTGGCATACTGCTTCAGGCATGGACAGGAGTCGAGAAGAGCAGTGCAAAATGGTTGTCGTAGTCCAAACCACCACACGTTTCCACCACCGTGTACGCATGACATCAACACAAGACAGAGCAGAGATACGAGAAGAGGAGAAAAAACCACATGAAATAAAGACGGATAGAACCTAATGGTCCCTTAAGGGATATTTTCTACATCCCAAATGTAATAAATTTAACAAAGTTGTTTTAAGTTACACTTAAGACTGACTGTTAACCTGCTCGAACAATTATCCCTTCACTAAACACATTTCGAAACGAACAGGAATACTCAGCAACTTAAGACAATACTTTCTTTAGAAACAAAAACAACTAGATCGAGCTTCAATTCGACTGTACACCACACCTGCAACCTAAACTTTGACAGTGATTTCACCACTGAAGTTTCCGTTACTCTCCATGGAGCACAAATGCTGCCAACTAGCGCTCGTACGAAACTCCTTATAAGGGAACTGTAGTATTCCAGTCCCTCTTATTTTTGTCGTAATTCTAGCTATTAGCAGTTTGTAGACGTTCTGTCATGGTAGCCGGGCTCAATTGCCCGATTTAAAGTATGATGAATGGAGATGAAACATATTTCAAAGCAACAACAGAACGATATCGTAAAGCAACTTACGGTGAAAGGCATGTCGGAAGTTGGATCATGATCGCCCCATTCTGAGGAGTCCAGCTTTCCAGTCAACAATACCATACAAATCAAAGCGGGAACAACAAGACAAGCATGGAACAGTGCTGATGTGACATGCCGACGCCTGTGCGACGGCACCAAGTGACGTGCCCGAGCCAGGACGATCGAGAGCACAAGGGCATACAGAACGGCAACTGCAGACAACGACAGGACCACCCATAGCGGAATAAAGACTACTGCCCAAGACCAGTCCACCTAAAGAAAGGAAAAACAATTAGTGTGAAGAAATCTCTTCCCATGAAGTTCTAGGTGTGAACTCCCAACAATTTGATGCGCCCGTAGGCAGCGATGACTAAAAAAGGGTAAGCACTTTGATAGCTTCAGTTTCAGGACTTAAATGTCCTATAACTCTCGTCATGGAAGTGAACTCTACTCTGAGCTATAGAAAAAAATTAAAACTGAAATGACACTAATTTAAAAGCAGGATGGAAAGATTAATGCAAAATAAACATAGTAATTGAGAACTTACCAGGTCGTCCAACTTGAAAGCAAGAAAGAACAGCTGCACTATATTTATTGCGAAGAACAGTTCAAACTGAAAAGTCACACCGTTACTAAGCAAAGAGAGTTCTAGAATGTTCCAAAGTACCACAAAGAATACCTCGAATGATTTATCCCTACGAATTGCCCATACAACGAGACCTATTGAAGCAACTGACAGTGTGAACAATGGAGAAAAGACGACTATCCAGTGCAACTCTAAGCTGTCACGGAAAATGTCTGACAATTCCAACTAAACAGACTTCCCGCTATCAGAAGTAATGCTGAATAAGGAAGAAAGCAAAGAAAGAAAGAATGAACGAAAAAAACAAAGAAAGAAAAAAGAAACAAAGAAAGAAAGAAGAAGAAGAAGAAGAAAATAAAAAACTGCTGTAGAGCTTACCTTACAGTACGTTAAAAGTGTAAATAAGAATAGAAAGGTATGTCCGACCGTTGTTAATTGCATAGCTGTGAAATCAACACGTAAAGCTATGTCGTTCCTAAAACAAAAAAAAACACTTACAATGTTGACTTTTTATTTACTGTTTATTACAGTTTTTCACATGGGCGTGCGTGGCGCAGTGGTCGGAGGCGCCATGGAATACACTTGGGATGGATTCCCACAGCTGGTACCAGACTTGTCCGGGAAGATAGCAGCACATGCTCAATACATCAGTAGGCCACCGCGAAACATTGTAAGAGCCAGATATGTATTTTCAACCACCTCAGCGATGCTTAATGAAGTCGAATGCATGGCGCATCCCTCAGGGAATAATCAATGCCGAGAGCTTCAGCGCTTCAGCTTTCACGGTTTTTCACTGCAGGCTATTATTTTAAACACAATCACAATGATGCTGAGATATTCGCGAAATTCCGGATCGCAAGTGTCTGCGGTGGGGATCGAACACTCTATTACTCTTTCCGGAGGCTAACGCGTACACCACCATACTATGCGGGCCTTTCGTTTCCCCTTTCCCTGGACCGTTTTCTATGTATCAGTGCCACTAACAATCACCCTTCAACGGGATTGATCTGGAGAGCACAAGTCGGCATTGAACCCAGTTAAGGAAAACAAAGAACAAAAAAGAACACTCAATCATGGATTACTTACTTATTTGGATATTTGAATGGCTCGTCCTCCCTGGTTGTGCGGGCTCCAGTATAATTTCCATTTTTTAAGAGATTTACTGGTTTAGGCACTGTAGCTCCCTGGAATCCCGAGGTCAGTCTGGCCAATGGCTGTCCCACGTAGTCACCACCACACGCACTCGCCGCCCTTGTGTTTGAGAGGTAGATTTGCCACCACGCGACTAGTTTGATACCACGATGGTGGTGGATCCTGGTATTGGTTTATTCTTAGTTGAGCTTCCTGATGGAAACGCTGGACTCCTCAGCTTGGGAGACCCTGCTGGGTGATGAATCGCCCCGCTGTAGATCATAGCCCGATGCCGAGGAACACCTCCCAGCCACGATAAGGCGGTAAACCGTTGGGAGGAATCCATGAAATAAATCCCGAAAAATGCTGATTGTAAGTAAACTTACGGTGAAGGAGGCCGTGCCAAGAATGAAATCACACCAACAATAGCTCCGGTGAATACCATTAAGTTGTATAACCATATAGGCAAAAACACAATAGCGTAGCCGACTTCTATCTTATTATCCAACTTCAAACAGAGTAGAAGAACGAAGAATAGCAAACACAAATAGGTCACGAATTTACTGAAAATCGGAGAAGTTGATACAAAATGAAGTGGGAAGATTACAAATAAGTGTGTCAAACCCTTACCTTGCATTAAATCCCCTAAAAAGAAAGCCTAGACTCAATTCAAGCATAGGGGTCAGAGGCCACCTGAATGAAAAAATCACGTTTTCATAACAGAAAATATTTATTTATACAATAAGAAAGCATTAATTGACCAATAGTAACAAATTTAATGATAGAATGGAAAAGAAAAGAATGGTATTTTACAAAGTCTGACAAAAGACTTCAACCATTAAAATCAAAATATGGGAAGAACAATAAGAAAACAAAAAACACTGTAAGAATAAAAAGGAATAAGAAGCAAAAGAATAAAAAGCTACCATAAGAAATGTAGCAAGAAGGCCATACCACTACAAAGGCAATACTTCATTTCTCTTTAAATAAAGCATTGTTTGAGTATGGCTCATATTTAAGTATAAACAAGCACATATTTACATGCATATATGAAAAACAGGACCATAAATAAACAAGAACCTCCTCCAGAAGCAATTGATAAACGCCGCAATAGACACGGATTACGTTGTCTCTGGCGCGCTCGATTCTACATTTTCTGACAGAACACGGGACGCGTGTAGCGCAGTGATCGAAGGCGCCCTGTAATGCGCACAGGATTGAACCACGCACTCCTGTTCCGCCGAGGCTTCCATCCCTCCAGAGTCGGCAAATTGGTACCAAACCTGTCTGGGACGATAGCAGCACTGGGTCGATATATTGGTAGACCATCGCGAGTTATTACAAATGCCAGATATGCATTCAGTAACCTCCAAGGATCCTCTATGGAGTTAATTGCATGGCACATCCCTCAGGGATTGATCAACGCAGAGAGCTTTAGCCTATGACTGAACTCTTCACGACAAGATTTTGCATATTTTCGTTAAGAGTTAGTGGTAGAATTTCTTTCCGGGAAACAGTCATGAACAATCCAGCCGCAATAAAGTACTTCCGTATTGTATGAAGACAAATTTGAATTCATTAAATTATTATTGCCTGTAACATAACATCATTTCCAAACGCCGAGCACGAATCAGAGTCTGTTTTCACGGCTCGATTAATGATCATCACCCGTTCCCATCAATAAGTACATAAGACGGTGGAGTCTGCTTTACCGTCCTGGAAACAGTATGGGTAGAGAACCCACATTGAGAAAGTGAAAGCAACCACTGCAGATGCTATATTCCGATGGACGTGTTGGGTAAGTTAATCGAGGCAGATTAGACTCCTAGTTCATGGATATAATAGCATCTCCTGCATTTCCATAAAAAACAAACTAGTTCAATTTTCCCTCCCAACGTTTTACCGCCTCATCGTGGCTAGGAGGTGTTCCTGGTTGTCGGGCTACGATGTACAGCGGTGGATTCATCCCCTGGCAGGGTCTACCAAGCTGAGAAGAAGTCCGACGTTTCCATCAGGAAGCCTAGCTAAGAGAAAACCAATACCAGGTTCCATCACCGTCCTGGTATCGAAGTCGCATGGTGGTAAATCTCCCTCTGATCCACAAAGTCTGCGACTGCGGGCTAGTGGTGGTGACCTGTGGCGGACTCTGGCCAGGCTGACCTCGGGATTCCAGGGAACCACAATGACTTAACCAGCAAATCTTCGAAAAATGGAGATTATGCTGGGGAACGCAGAACCAGTGAGGACGGGCCGTTCAAGTATCAAGTATCAAGCTCAGTTTTCGCCTCAAAAGCCGACAGAGGGATTTCTCGAATGAAGACCGTCTCACCTAGACATCCTTCGCTCTGGCAACACCGTGTTCGGAACGCGTCATCGTTTCGTTTACTGCATTACTGAGCTCACATTCGCAAAGGATGGCACCTGGTCAAGGTCAAGAGCAACTCGATCACCAGCTTAGGAAAATACTTCGGAACAATGCGCAAAAAACCGGGTTTTCAGATACAGCACTAAATTAACGTACTTTCACCTTTATTATTGTTCCTGCTAATGCATAACAAATCGTGATAAGAACAAGGAAGCTTTGAGTCCGTACCGTTTGTAAAAGTTTGTTCAATAGCGCGAGACACGACGGTATGTCCATGCAGCCATACAAAGGCCTTTATGAGCACTTGGCAAGTGTTTATTAAAGGTTCGAAGTGGACGAATTTTGAAAAGAATAATTAGGAAACAACGTGTGACATTTATTTATGTGTTCTTATGAACCGATCTTGTTCAGCTGAATTTGTTATTTGTTGTCGTTGTTTTTGTTGTTATTGTGGTTGTGGTTGTTCACCATAAACAGCGTGCTTGGACGAAGTCTCCTGAAATTTAAGCTTAGAGTAATCACCTAAATCCTCCTACATTCACTGCGACTTATTCTTCCCAACGACAAATCTGGCAGATGAGGTCGGGTAGAACGTTAACAAATAAGGTTGACATTTTATTTGCCGCTTATTACAATTTTCACGCCAGGGTATTATTTGAAATACAACCACAATGATGCTGAGATATTTGCAAAACTGCGGACCGCAGGTTCTGCGGTGGTTTTCCATTTCTTCCTTGAAATTAACTGGGAGAAAGGCGAAACGAAGGACCTGCATGGTGTGGTGGTGAACGCGTTAGAACCCACAAAGGGTAATAGCTCCCTCGTTCCCCACCGCAGACACCTGCTGTTCGCAGTTTTGCAAATGTCTGAGCATCACTGTTGTTGCATGACATATAATACCTTGCCATGAAAAACTGCAATAGACAGTAAGTAAAAACTTAACATTACGCTGAAACATTTAGGAAAATTGGTCTGCAAGCCGGAACAAAGTGGGGCTACCATTTTCGGGGCTACCTTTGGTTGATGGTAAGCGTCTAGGCTCCGTTGTCGAGAAGATGTGCCGAAGGTTCCAGCTCTGTAGTGCGCGAATGTTCTATCGCATGTTCTATTATTAGTATCTATCGTCCTTTTAGAATTTTAAATTACAGCAGCGTCTTTTAGTGGTGAAGCGACAGAGCACAAAAACATAGCATACTATGAGAGGGCTGGCAATGGGACAACAACTGGCACCATGCCTTGCCATTGCATTCATGTCTAAGGTGGAAGCGCCAGTAAACGACCTCGGTCCGTTACTCTACTGTAGACGTATAGATGACTGCTTCGTCATTTGTTCAACACAAGAAGAAATTGACAAATGTTTCGAGTTGTTGAACGAACAGTCAGAGTATATTAAATTCACTCGAGAGAAACCAAAAGAGAACTGGCTTCCATTTCTGAACGTGCAAATTAGCCTATCAGAAAACGGCTACATTACGAAATGGTATCGAAAGCCAAGTAGTAAAAACACCTTAATTCATTACCTCTCCTCTCATCCCTCTCACACGAAAAGGGGGCTCATGAGAAACATGTTTCGAAGCGCTACCAGCGTGTGCACAGGAAGACAACAGAGAGAGGAATCCCGTAACTTGGCGAGACAAATTGCCATTTATAATGATTACGAAACTGTAGCTCGGGAGAGGTGCAGAGGATACCATAGGCCTTCAACGATAACTCTAGCGACAACAAGGTTCCGTTTATACCTTCATTTCAAATGAAGTAAGTGCAGCTATAAAACGCTGTTTAAGAAGGGACAATCTAGAGAATTCGGTAACGATAATCGAAATACCACCGAGTAATCTAAGACGCCAGCTAGTTCGTTACCGCCTTTACGACCGTCTATGTGCAACGCAAAATTGCACAATTTACCCCAATGGTAGAGACGGTGACTGCATGAGATCGAGTATAGTTTATCTGATCTCCTGGTAAGGCGTGTGGAGACGAATACATTGGCGAAACGGGCAGAACCCTCTGTGTCCGCATAAAAGAACACCTAGTCGGCAAATGTAAACCAAATACTCCACTAGGCACGCATAGGACGCAGAGACATAACGGAGAGATTTTTAGGGTAACGGTCCTCGCTTAAGAATCGAGAACACAAGCACGCAAAACTCTAGAGGCATTCTGGATTAATTTCAAGAATCCGAAAATGAATCGCAGGGAGGAATTACTCATTATCACGCGTGATATAGGACAGTATATAAACCTGTTATTCTGATGGGATGGCCACATTGCGCTTCCGTGTGAATTCTGTGCGGTCGGTCTTCACACGACATACTCAGTGGAAGACTCATAGAAAGCGGTGAGTGTGCAGAGCTATGCTAAATGTGATTGAAATCTTGGTTTAGCGTTTTCTCTGTTTGGTTATGGAGGTGTTTGGCCGAATAGGTTGCTGTCAACTTGATCTTTCCAGACTCTGAGGAAGACGAAATCCGCCGAAATGTCAGCTTGTACGTAAATAAGGAAATAAAATAGCACCTCGTGTTTGCTGAATAGAAGTGGAAAGAATAGCATACTATTTTTCGTACTACATTTCCCAACCGACTTTGTCACTTTACAAGTTGCTTTATTTTGCTTTCGCACCTTTCTATACATTTGTATCTCTCATTCATTTCGTCGTTAATTATTTTTGTTAACCGTATAGACCTACAAAATCTACCGTTTTCAAACTGGTCGACAAATTTCGGTATATCTCTGGCATTTTGAGTGTGTCTGGAGCACAATGACTAGAGGTGCTCTTCACCAGGCATGTGGTCGTTGGTTCATTCCACATCCTGGCCTCACCAAGCATTCCAACGCCGTGGCATCGGTAAATTGCTATCATACTTGTCTAGGAGGACAGTATCACGTACATTTTAGGCCACCAGAAATCATTATATAGGCCAGTAATGCATTCAGTAGCCTCTAATAATGCTTCGTAAAATCGAATCCTTGACGCGTACCGCAGCTATTTACCAACGCTGAAGGCTCTACCACTTCTTCTTATGCATTTGTTTTTCACATGACATATAAAACTTCATTCAGACATTGCAACGCATCTACTTACAGATAGGTAATACCTTCTCATAGTTTGCACAATTCTTATAGGACGAGATGATCTTTTGTGATTTTATCGCAGTGGTGGATCAAATTATTTCAAATACACAGTCTGAAAATGCCAAGGTGTGTCCGCAGCAGATTCTATCACTCCAAATCGTTTCTAATATTTTCCCTTTAGTACGATGCTAAGGAGCTGCTGAATAGAATAAAGTTCTCACACGTGAGGTAGAGTTTGGT